TATTTCTATCAAGNTATAACCTTCATTCTAATATCACTATTTAAAGAATCATGATCATCAATTTTTAGGTAGCTATTTCTATCAAGCCTCCAAGGTCATGTCAATAATTCAAAAATACATAAAGTACAAGACATTAGGATATAAGAAAATATAAAGCCAATAAAATATAACAAGTGCAATATATAACGTAGCGTAGAGAAATTAGTTCTTCAAGAACTATATAGAGTTGATCTTCAAGATCAATCTATTTTCTTCATGATCGTTTAAACACATTCTCTTCAAAAAATGATGTATGTTCAGACAGATAAGATTAAATTTTTTTTCTCAAAAGCACAATATTATTATTTCATTTTCAATCACATTATATTAATTCATTGTGGATCTACCCTCTTGATGTGTTACTATAGGAGCACATTCAAATCATGAAATGTGATTCATTATTTTTCAAAAAAATATTTTTTGGGAATTTTTCACATAATTTTAAGTATGTTTGGATCTTGCAACCTCAGGTGCATCGAGCATTTGGGACGATTAGGATCTTAGGAACTCATATCTCTCCAATTAATATGTGAGTATNTATAATTTTAAGTATGTTTGGATCTTGCAACCTCAGGTGCATCGAGCGTTTGGGACGATTAGGATCTTAGGAACTCATATCTCTCCAATTAATATGTGAGTATTTTACCATAAAGTAATCAACTTTATTCTTCCAGAATATGGTGACGAAGGATAATGCTTATATTTGTGCAATCCTTTAGGGATGCTTAGTTTTNAAAGTAATCAACTTTATTCTTCCAGAATATGGTGACGAAGGATAATGCTTATATTTGTGCAATCCTTTAGGGATGCTTAGTTTTCTCCTGTAATTGAATCTTCAAAATTCATAACATCAAGATGGATCTTATCAAGGATCTGATAAAAATAATTATGACCAATAATATCAAGACTGATTGTAGGATACCTCTAATAATTTCATCATTGAAGTTTTCATATTCAGTACCTTCAAGTGGTAAAAGAACATCGGGAAATATTTTACTCATCTCTTTTTTGGTTACAACTTCGTGCCGATAAGGTGTTATAAAACTAAAGAAATATAAGGAATAAAATAGTAAAGAGACAAGAGAATATAGAAATGCTAGAAAATAGAACTTCTCTACTTATGTATTTCTTAATGTAGTCAATGCCTCCTTTTATAGGCCCTCAAACATAAGGCCCATCAAATACAAAATTAAAGTTGGTATATCAAAGGGTAGGAGTTAGAGACCAATGCATTAATACCCATTAATTTCTATTTTACTTGGTGTAGTAAATGGTAGGTTAGGAGTCATTCACTTTATATACAATATTATTGTAATATTTACAACACCATTAGTTTAATAAGATAAGCTATAAGTAGTATGAACTATCGTTGTTACAATGTATTTGCTAGATATATAGTTACATGAATCTCTGCCCTTACACTAAATGAATGGGCAATTTAACATTTATCTTTGTTGGGGAAAAAAAATCGTACCATTTGATAGATGGTGATAAGGGGATTTGACTCGAATGGGAAAACAAACAAAAGGGTATTGCTTCTCTTGCAAAACGAGCAAACTGTTAGAGACTAAGATTAAACCAATTCGAGGTACTCCAATTCTTAAATAAGGAAGCGTTCTAGTAATAAACAATCAAACTAGTAGGGAAGAAGGTGCGTTCTTATACTTAAACATACCCGATATTTATAGTATCACGTGGAGCCCTCTCTGTTAGGATTTTTGTCGTTGGCTACACTAGGTGGAACACCTATAAGTTAGCCAAATTTTCCTTAATGTTTGTTGGGTCCTCCCCTAGTTTCTTTTCTTATTCATCCTCTTTTTAGGTAACATGTTACCAATATGATCCTTTAATTTAGCCAATCCCTTGATTGTTGTCTTAAATCTCCTTTTGATTTTGTGGGGTAACCTAATCACCAATATGCCTATAAGGCCAGATCAATGACTTATCTACCTTTTCAGATAAGACTTGTTCCTCACCCAAACTCTAGCATTTACTAGGTCCTTTTCTCTAAGCACATTATACTGATCCTCTATCAAGCTTATTGTATTTCACCGAGTTTTTTTAAGTTCGTTCAAAACCGATTTATTTAATTTTTTCAGGCATGTGATTTCTCATGTGTCTTAATATAATTGTCCTATCAATCTTTTCCTAAATAATATTTATACGAGAAAAGGGCGATAATGTTCGAACGGACAAATATCTGCATGGAGGTGGGGAACTTTTGTATACTGAAATGGACAATTCGATAAATTCAGATAAGCTGACTGTACACCCTAAAGTGGGGGGATGTATGGAAGACCCTGGCAGCTGTTTTGTTTTGACATTGCTAGATAGTCTGTGCAGGTGACGCACTTAACAACTCACCAATATGTCAACTAACAACTCTCAAGGTATGTACCAGTGTAATGTATAAATCCCGTTTATAAGATTCGTCTGATCGATCGTAGAAGTTGAATTTCGTCAATATGAGTTTGATAAATAAATAAAAAAAAAAGTCCCCAAAACGCGCATTTTCAGCGAAATAATAAAATTCTAGAGCATGGTAGATCTGATAATCAATGGCCTTACTGAGGATGAAAATAAGCATCTAAATATGAAGACTAGTTATGTGTTTGAGAGAGACAGAGAGAGAGAGAGATCAATCTCTATAACAGTGACTCCAATGAGCTCTTTATTCTAATGGACTCAAGGAAAAATGATGCAAGTTGGTGACCATCCATTTCTATGATTGTAAGGTTGACAAGTGTTCACACACGATTGACTGTTGGGGAATTCAACATAACATTCTTAGGTTTGAATTTTGTCCTACCGAGTTTAAGTGGTGAATAGTTAAACTTATTAGATCTAGGGGATGAGTTGACACAAATTTGATAGGAGCAAATACTACATAGATTTAAAATCTAAACTTAAAAACTAAACTTAATAATTACAATCATTGATTTCACTATGAGTACAAAAGATTATATTAAAAACGAATTCTAATTGTTAGGTCTAAATTCGACAATGAAACTTTGTAATGAAATTTGTTTTTAAGTCAATTTTCTCAGTCTTTATTGGCTCGAAGCTCCTGATTTTTTTTGCTAAATAATTTAATTGTATAAGAATCAGTATTGATGTTTCATTACATTGTCTGTTATGAGATGACTCATAAGACCTTACATATTGAAATTCTATTATATATCTTTGATATTCTTTTTTTTTTCTCTCTCATCCTTCCATTTATCCAAATCTTCTTCTCTGGTTCACTTTACGACTTAGAATGAGATTTTTTTTCTTTTGTTTATAAAAAAAAAAAAAAAAATTCAGTTTCTACAATGATATAACCGATATATCATATTTTGACTAATTCTTTGGATCCAAATAATGCAAAGTGATGAGTTGTTTATTAGTTCTATATTTATTAGTTTATATTATGGAGCTAGTCTTTTTTTTTATTATTATTGAATCACAATCCTAAAAAAAACGAATGAGTCACACACTAAGCATAACAATTATATCAAATTGTAAATTGAATTTTTATCCAACCCTGTAGAATTAAGAATTAGATTTGTTCATTTTGGTTTTGATTTGTATAGCAACAATAATCAATTTTAGCCCGAATGGTTTGTAGGAGAACCCTACCTTCTCTGATCCATTCGACACATGCAATTTCTTTTCTGTTGAATTCCTTTTGTATTTGTTTATTCGGTTAATTCAATAACTTTTTTCATTACTTTGAAAAATAAAACTCTATTTTTTAATTGGCCAGCTATAAATTTTACAAGAATATTAGGGATTTCATAAGGTTTTGCAACTCATTATCTATTCAATAATTGTGATTATCAAATATAATTTTTAATTTTAATTTTTAAGTTCACGTAACATTAGTCATTTGATAGAGAATGAGACAACCTTAATTATACCTCCGTTACCAGAATTTGTATACAAATCAAACAGGACAGGACATGAGCCCAATTATACATTTTTATAAATAAATCAGATATATACTAAATAATTTTTTGACATGATACAATTTATTTGATTTAAAAATAAAATATAATATAACTTAATTGACGTGAAGAGTGACCTTGACTCTCTCATATTAATAAGAGAAATCAAACTTTCTATTTCATTGACTCTCCCGTGTTAAAAAGAGATATCAAACTTTGTATTTCAAGTTCTTCTAATGGATAGCTAATTGAACATAAATTTATAAGAATTAACCATCTAAAATACATAATTGAGTGATAATCTAGATGTTTTAAAAAAAAAAAAAAAAATTAAGGCGACAAGGAAATCTTTAGTTTATTTTCAATAGATAGAATAGTGCTTATGTCGCTTAGACTCGTGAGTCCGAACAGAATCGAGGACAAACCTTAGATGCATGACCTAATCCTTCAACTTATACAATAGTTAAATCTGAACTTGCACTTCGACGAAGATTCAAACCCCGCTAGAAACTTAAACATTGTCCATCCAAACAACTAAGATTCATATTATTAGCCAATCACGTTTTTTATCATCTAGGGAATTTGAACCCTTAATCTCAAGAAGACAAATATTTCATAAGATAAAGATTATAATTAGACTAAAGGTCTGTTAGTAAGGTGTTCTAAAGTTACTAACCGGGAATGATATCATATATTTATCATAGTTGAAGCGTTCGTGTGACTACGTGGTGAATCTAAGAGGGTTTATGTGTAATTTCCCAATAAAAATATAATAAACAACAGAAATATTTTTAATGGTACCTAACTTGAAACCGTCAGGCAATACAATCACTTCTCCTAGGCTTTTCCTCAATAAGGATCATATTTTCTGAACCAACTTACTTCTTTTCCATCAATACCCATTCTCTCTCTCTCTCTCTCTCTCTCTCTCTCTCTCTCTCTCACACACACACACACACACACTTTAGCAGGTAGCAGTTTTGATTCATCATCCCAAACAACCATATCAAACCACAGGGGGACCTTAAAGACATGTACCCATCATCCTCTTCTTCTTCATCACAGGGCTCAATGGGCCCTAGTGGCAGTCGCCTAGTCCGCTACGGCTCAGCCCCAGGCTCCCTCCTAGCCAACGCCGTCGATTCTGTTATCGGATCCACCCGCGAATTCTCGTCCCTCCGATCCCAGACCCAGACCCAAACCCGCATGGGCCCATCATGTTACTTCTCCTCTGAAACGTCTTCGCTTACATCAGAATCCACTTGCAAGGCCAACAACAATAATTCGACGGGTACGACAGAGCATAAGGGAACTGGGTTACAGAGATCTTTTGGTTTGAATGAGTCAGCCGTTGGTGAATTTGGAACGGCTGGTGATTTGAAAAGCGACGGCGGTGGTGGGTCTACTTCTTCTGCGTCTTTGGTTCGTCACAGTAGCTCACCTGCTGGCTTTCTTAACTATCTTGCTACTGCCTCTTCAGCTGATAATGGTATGTTTTTCCTTTCCGGGAGATGATAGCTTACTTGCTGATATTTCTGTGTCTTTGTCTGTGGCTGTGTCTGTGTTGACTTCCACCAGCTAAACCAGTAATTTTCTCTCATCGCATTCCACATAACCAAAAAGAAAAATTAGAATATTAACAATTATAGAAAAACTCATACAAACATATATTAATTTGAGGGAGAAGTCCGCTATAACATTTTTAGAATTGATCATAAGTTACCACCAAAATTGCAACTTAGCCCAAAACAGTTACAATTCAAACATTAAAAATTGTAATTTGATTTAAAGGATATAAATTTTCATATTATAAACGAACCCCAAAACTTATATTAAAATCTACAAGTCTTGTCCTAATTTGAGAGAGTATACCCTTAAATCTTGGCAAACGAAAAAAATATTTGGTGTAAGGATGACACTTCGTGGACGCAACAAAAGATCGATGGTTAAAATTTTGTTTTGATGAATTCTTTTGGTCACCAAGAAAACGAAAATATGTGGACATTTTTGAATTGTTTCGACCCGTTTCAAAATCAGAATGAAAAGAAATAATAATTATTATTTATTTTAAAATATTAGTCAGAATATACCAAAATATTTTGAAATAATTGTGAAAATGTATTGAAATAACAAAATATTTCAAAATATCATGAAACACCTCAAAATATTAAAATTTTAATTTTATTATTGATTCAATTTGATCTCTTTAAAAGCAAAAACGATTTAAATGTTTCAATCGCTTCAAAATAATATTTTAATCTTTTCAAAAAGATAGAAGAAAAGAAAAAAGGTTTATAACGATGACAGTCCTTTTAAGTTGAGTTCGGGATAAGGATTATTATATTAAAATAAAAGGAAAAGAAAAAAGAGAGTGCCTTTTTACAACATTATTATTATTATTTTCAGTTAAAAAAAAAATACTAACCCTTTAAGTGACTCTCATGTTGTTTTGGGCCAATTAGGAAAGTTATGTTTTTTTTTTTTTTTATGAATAGTTAATTGGTGATAGTGATGAGATGAATTGACGGAAATGTCCTTTTAGTTAAGTGTTTCATAGTAGAGCGATAAACAAATGCACAGACAGCGGTATCTAAATCGCCCACAGTCTGAACGAAACCACTTTGAGAATCTCCTCTCCTCTCTTTCTCTCTCTCACTTTGTGCCTTGTGCATAGGCATTGACTTTGCTTGGGAAAGTGCTGATGTAGATGAGATGAATTGACAGAAATGTCCCGCTTAGTTAGGTTATGTGCCTACAGCATTAGTATCCCTCCATTGGTGTGCTAAAACTTTGTCATTTTGTGTTTGATATAGCTGTTAAGTCACGTGCATGTATGGGAGGAAGTGGGTTCCTCGCAACATGCATTTGTCATACCAAATCTTTTTTACAATATCTTGATCAGAATTGATTAATGGCAACTACATCTAATAATTGAAAAGTTTCAAAATATCAATAAATAATTGAATTAAAAATAGTTCACTTCTATTGACCTTATTTGTAGGTAGGCATTAGGTCATTTGAATTTTAAAATTTTTATTTGAAGTTCGATAATTGAATCTTAAAAGTATTTTAATGTGACCCTTTCATTAGTTTCTGTTATTCATTCCGTCAACATCAATAGAGTGAATTTGATGGAATAAGTAACGGAAGTTAACGGAAATGTCATATTGTAATAGTTGTAATACATTGAGGGTGTAATGTAAAAAATTTCATCTTTGAGAGTGTAATGTAAACAATCTAATTTTTAAGGGTGCAAAATGAAAAACTTAAATCTTTCGGGATGCAAAGTGAGATTTCCCAAAAAATTAATCATTAGTCATTCCAACTTCATAAATTAATACACAATGCACCGTAAATGTTATCTGAATCTAGCTACTATTTTAAATTGTTTTCTAGTTTTTATTGATCTAGAAAGATTAGAGTTCAGTTAACAACGTGATTCATTGTTTAGCAGAATTTTGAATTAAGGAAGAACTTTTATGGGCCTTACAACATCTGTCATTTTTCAAACCAAATTGAAGAAAGGGGAAAAGAAAAAGCTTCTGACTTCTTACTTGAAGTAACATGGGTAAAATACATTTTTAGTTTTCAAACTCTACACTTTGTGTCAGTTTGATCCTTAATCTTTTAATTGTGTCAATTTGGTCTATCAACTTTTCAATTTATGTCACTTTGGTTCAATACTAATAGAGATCGTCACGTGTATCTTACGTGATCACACTTGAAGCGCATTCTTTGAAAATTTTAGGGACTGAAGTGACAGAAACTGTATTTTGTAAAATTTTAGGCCACTTTAGTCCCTCAAGTGTGATCACATGAACATCTCTGTTAATCAATTCAAACTTCTATGTTCGATTANAAACCTGAAGGACCAAAATGATACAAGTTACAAATTTGAGGGACTAAAGTGGCCCCTCAAGTGTGATCACATGAACATCTCTGTTAATCAATTCAAACTTCTATGTTCGATTAGATAACACAGATATAGACCAAATTGACACAATTGAAAGATGGANTTTTTGTAAAATTTTAGGCCACTTTAGTCCCTCAAGTGTGATCACATGAACATCTCTGTTAATCAATTCAAACTTCTATGTTCGATTAGATAACACAGATATAGACCAAATTGACACAATTGAAAGATGGAGGACCAAATTAACACAAAAACGCATTCGACTATCAATGTATTTTACCTGCGTTACTTTTACTTGAGACCACTTTCNGATTAGATAACACAGATATAGACCAAATTGACACAATTGAAAGATGGAGGACCAAATTAACACAAAAACGCATTCGACTATCAATGTATTTTACCTGCGTTACTTTTACTTGAGACCACTTTCATAAAACTTTCATGGTGAGTTAGGCTTCTTGTCCCCATTCCTTCAGTCATAAATGCACTGTAGAAGGAAAGAAAAACCGTTCGCTCTAAAATTTAGTTCTACTTTACTAGTCCACTTGAACTAATTGGAGTGCTTAGGATTCTTGAATATGTTTCTAGTAGGTGGGAACATACCACCAGGTAGATCTCACAACCGAGCAGTTGTCATTTCCTTTGTTTCCTATTCTCACTAGTGCCATTAGGGTGGAAGAATTTATCAGCCAAAAACGTGGTTGCATTTGACATTTGGCATTGGTTTTATTATTATCATTTCTTAGTTAAGCAATATTTACATACTAGCAATAACCCCGTAGATGAAGATTGGATCAATCTTGACTATTATTGTACTTTTATAAGTTGAGAATTCAACTTCCTAGTTGTAATATTAGATAGAATAACTTATTTGTTCACCCAATTCTGTTTTAAGTTATGTCAACGGGGTGTGAAAACAGGTTTTTCAAACGCAAGAGGGATTGGTAGGAGTAATTATAAAGGGGGCTCTGATAGTAGCCATGGAATATCAAGGTTGAGCTCTCAGCTGAGCTTCACAGGACAAGATTCTCTTTCTCAGATCAGTGAAGAAAGCGAGGATGTTATTGATGGCATGGGTAACGATGGCCACAGAAATGCTGCTCATTCTTATGCTCATGCTAGCTTCGGGATGTCTTCTTGGGACAATGCCAGTGCCATCACGTTTTCTGATCCACCAAGCAAGCGAGCTAAGAACATCGGCGGTATCCTTGTCAATGGTGGCAACAACATGGAATCCCAGGTATTATAGATATCCTGATTTTCACACATAAATATGGAAAGGAATCACTTTCATGATCATCAGAATCTGCATTCAATAAAAGAAAATGAACTATACATCCATTCCTCGTTAATAACTCTCTGTCTCTCTAGATGTGTGTTGCTAAATAAAAAAGAATGTTAATGTTGCTATAGTGGGAAGTAGTGACATTTGATTTACTCTTTGATAACATCATTTTTGGTAGATATGCCTTTCTTACTCTTTTTCAATACAGTACTCATTGATAAATTTAAACTGATGAATTTCAACCTTCTACTATCTTTCAAACACCTAAATTTTCTGCTTTTCGTCTCTGTCAAGAGATGGAAATTTCCAATCTCTCTCTTGCTCTACCGGTTTGTGTGTGTGAAATGCTATCCAAAATTCCAGTCAACAAAACTAGAAAAACAATCACAGCTTTTTTATAGCTTCGAAAATGGTATTGTAGGACAACGATGCTGTAAAGTTTAATAGCCCTCACTTTTTCCCTTACTTTTTTTGTTTTATGGAAGGGTAATTGTTTTCATGCATTTTCTTTTCTCATTGTANTTTCGAAAATGGTATTGTAGGACAACGATGCTGTAAAGTTTAATAGCCCTCACTTTTTTTGTTTTATGGAAGGGTAATTGTTTTCATGCATTTTCTTTTCTCATTGTATATGTTGCAGAAAATAAGAGATTGCTAGTTTTGGTAAATGTAGAAGGTACATATATGATTTACTACTTCAAATGCGACATGTTTGGTAGATATGCTTCTGTTACTAGTTTTCTTTTTAAAAATCCTCTTCAATGGCCAATTTTGAAATGAGCATCATCAACATAATATTGTTCTCGAAACACCAAAATTTTCCACTTCCACTTCTGTCAGTATTTATGCACTTCAATTTATGTACCAGAAAAATAATTGCCAGGTTTTTAACTTTAGTGGTTGGTTTTTAACAAAAAGCGCTACGACGTTAACAGGCCTCGAATTTTTCTTGCTCTTTCTTCTTTCAATTCTCATTTCTGAAAAGGACTGCTGCCTCATATATCATTTCTCGTGGCATTATATTTCATCCATCTTTTAGAAAGTCATTGGAATAAAATTGAATTTTCATGTGAACTCATGCGAATGCAATATCTGAGTGCGAAGTGAAGATAGGTCAAAGCAAGGAAGCTCTATATGGTTAAACTTAGTTACTGCCTTAGAGCATGCATGGGCTGCTTACATAGCACTTTCTTAAATGTTGTTATAGAAGTAAAGTTCAATTAGTTTATCCATTATTTGTTCTGTTATGTAGTGTAACATTGTTCTGATTTTGAACAATGATTTCTGCTCCTTAGAATATCTAGTTCCTTGACAGTTTCAGTTTAGCACGCTGCAGACAGCACTAGAGATGGCCTCAGTGGAGAGGTTACTTCAAATCCCTCAAGACTCTGTCCCTTGCAAAATTCGTGCTAAGCGAGGCTGCGCTACTCACCCAAGGAGCATCGCTGAAAGGGTGAGTACAAATTTTCATAATTGTCACTTAAGGTATCATTTTAGGAATTGCAAGGATATTAAACTTCTATTGTCAATATGTTTGACCCCAAATTTACTTCCTTTTTCTGGTAAATCACCCAATTTACTTCTGTGGATGGTGCCAGTACAGAACATCATAATCATACAACTGTTAAACTGGAGCCACTCCATTAAATTCTTGAACTTATGTTAATATCTTCTTAAATAATTGACCCTTCTCTAGGATCCCATAGTATACTAATTTTTGACATGGTAAATTCAAATAAAAGTCTATGCAAGCATCAATCAGCCATCCAATTGCTCTTTCGAGGTGCTATACCATGTTTTAGGTTTTTAGGTGCAAATATTTTTCATCTGAGCTAGTCCAAAATTCCCATCTCTCTCTCTCTCTCTCTCTCTCACACACACACACACACACTTTGGCATTCAAGGGATGTTTCTGCATCCGAAATTCACCATTAAGTTACTGAAATCTCTGATTTAAATGAGGGGTTATAGGATGANAAAAAAAAAAAAAAACAGAAAAATAGTTATAGTCTTTCAGATTTCTTTACTCTTTGAAAACTATTTAAACCAAAAAAAAAACAATAGCATCAACACACTCTAAATAAGTGAGGTGAAGTAATATCTCTACAGTGGAACTTATTTTTTGACTATAACTGATTCAAGACTCAAGAGCATGTAAAGAATTGATTCTATTTGAAATCATCCCAGATTACAACCTAAGCTAGCTCGGAGACCTTACCTNCAATAGCATCAACAGACTCTAAATAAGTGAGGTGAAGTAATATCTCTACAGTGGAACTTATTTTTTGACTATTACTGATTCAAGACTCAAGAGCATGTAAAGAATTGATTCTATTTGAAATCATCCCAGATTACAACCTAAGCTAGCTCGGAGACCTTACCTTCTTTTTTTGCCAGTAGATTATACCTGGCTAGTTAAATCTACCATTGACCGACTTTATTGAGACCTTGTTGGCAAGCTGCACTATTAGTCTTCATCCAGCCGGCATTGCTCTCTCTCTCTCTCTCTCTTACACACACACACACACACACACACTTTGGCATTCAAGGGATGTTTCTGCATCCGAAATTCACCATTAAGTTACTGAAATCTCTGATTTAAATGAGGGGTTATAGGATGAGTGCAATCTGGTGATCATCCCACTAACCACTATTATTAATTATAGTACCACCATGTGCAGTTTTTTTTCCCTTTTGACTGGACCATTTTCTTTGATTTGTTCAACAAGAAATTAATCAGTTAATAGGAAGATGGATTTAGTTAATCAAATTACGGACCTGAGGACTATTAAGGCTGAGACTTAACTGACGGTGGCCAGTAGATGTCGTAAGTTACAGTTTTTGGTGTCCATTTTCTGTAGCCGCATGACTCTATGTTTGTGAGCGGGATTTCTTTTTCTTTGCGTTGACTATTGAGTAGATAATTAAGGAGAGCTTCGCCCCCCCCACCCCCCACCACAAGTAATTGGGGGCAAAAAGCCAATGACGCTCAGCATTAACCACAGNAGTTTTTGGTGTCCATTTTCTGTAGCTGCATGACTCTAGCGGGATTTCTTTTTCTTTGCGTTGACTATTGAGTAGATAATTAAGGAGAGCTTCGCCGCCCCCCACCACAAGTAATTGGGGGCAAAAAGCCAATGACGCTCAGCATTAACCACAGGAAACTGGCCAACTTTGTTTGCCATAGAGGCAATTTCACTACCTTGTAGATTGATGACTTTTAGGATCATCTACTTCAACCTAGAGAAATCCTTCAATCCATTCCCAGTACCAGAAGGTAGAAATACAGATACGAGGTCTTAAATTGTTTGTTTTTGTACTAAATGTCACAGTTACTCCATTCCATAACTGATATATGTTCCTAGATTTTTCCACATACTGACACAATGATTCATGACTAATAATAGTTATAAACTGCCAAAACTGCAAATATATCAGATTTTGCCTAAACCTTTTGCTTCTAATCAAGGACTATCAGAAAGCATTATTCATTAAGAAAAACTATTCCTTGTCGTAATATAATGGATTAGGTATCTATCCCTTGCTTGCCAGCATGATCGCTTGTCTTATTTATTGTTTGCTTTAGTGGATGGTTTATGTCTGGTCCTTTCAGGTCACCTGACCTGGGCGGAAGGCCCTTTGTAACAGCATTGGGGTCNCAAAGCATTATTCATTAAGAAAAACTATTCCTTGTCGTAATATAATTGATTAGGTATCTATCCCTTGCTTGCCAGCATGATCGCTTGTCTTATTTATTGTTTGCTTTAGTGGATGGTTTATGTGTGGTCCTTTCAGGTCACCTGACCTGGGCGGAAGGCCCTTTGTAACAGCATTGGGGTCCAGTGACTCTATAAGGCTTTGATGTACTAGTGCCGGCACCAAAACATCGAGAAGGATTCAATGAACTTCTTGAAAAGCAGTAACACAAGACAATTAATTGAATGGTTGTTGGCTCTACCGGGTCATTTTATTTGCACTGTTTTGTGGTTTGCCTTTGTGAGGCTCTTATTACATCTTCATTCAAAATTTATGCCTGCTTCAAGTTCAACATAAGAATCAGGGTAGTAGTATCTACGTATTTCATGTATTAGGCAACTCACGAGTTTTCTGTGTATCCATGTGTTTCAATAGTTAGTTAAGTCTTTTGTTCTTCATTAGGTGTAGAACATCCCCAGTTATGTATTGAGCAGCAAAGCACATTCATACAATACAATAAGGTATCAGAGCACATGGTGAGACCTTGTTGCACCTGAAGTTTTTTTTTCCCTAGACTTCTTGAGATTAATGGAACCATGATTGTGTGATAAGTTTGGAAGATCATCTAACAAGTCAAAGACTTAACCAGTTGGGTAATAAACATACCTGCATACTGTAGGAACATAATTACCTGAATTATGGTGTAAATCCTTGCTCTAATTGGATTACAAGAGACAGTAGATGTGGCAGAGATCAAACTCATATTGATGATAATGTGTTTCTGGTGTACTTAGAAGACAAATGAAGCTAGTTCATTACGTTTACAATAAATTGTCTTGTCTTTTATATGTTGTGTGTATATTGAATGCCAAGACTTACTGGTAATATCCTCTGGTACTTTTACACAGGAGAGAAGAACCAGAATAAGTGGGAAACTCAAGAATCTACAAGATCTTGTCCCTAACATGGATAAGGTAATCCACTCTTTCTCATTGAGTTGCAAGAAAAATTGCACCCTAGATTTCATTTTTTATTTATTTTCCCATAAAGCATACGTGGGGAATGGTTTCTCGTCAAACTAAAATTTTGATTCTTGCCTATCACCCTGAAGGCAGGGTTTTTAAGCCGTCGATATGGTCAAGTTTGAGGTTAAAGGTTTTAGAATGGGCACCATCTGCAAAACTGTCACTATGAAGCATTTCCATTCCAAAAGAATTCTTCATCTTGTTTCAACCTTATGGTATTTTAGTCTTTCGTTACCTTGACTCATTATTGCTCTAAATCCTGTGGCTAATCATCACCCCAGTTTTGAAGTGCTTTGTTGCCACGGCCACTTAACTTGATCATGGAACAGCACATTTCTAACTTTTGGCTGGAGCTACTAAAGGAATTACAAAATTACCACTGTGACACAGGCTGACTGAACTAACATGGGATTCTGGCTTTTTTCTATCTCTCTTGAGACATTGAAAATTGCATAACCAAGTTTTCTGAGTGTTTTATGAAACTCTACTTCAACTTTTAGTTTGTAAAACTCAGTAATGGGAAATGATGAACTTTGTATCAAAACAAAATGTTAGTTACACACTACGGTTTTTTAACCTAATTTGACTTGATGAACAATGTCTTCACGGTTCTTTCCTTTGATAAGTATGAAGAATTTGCTATGAATTCAGTATGATCACGTTTTAAAACAACGGTAGTGTAACTGTAATCTTCTGGTGGGAGAAGTATGTATTTCTACTTAAAACTTACAACTAGCCTGAACATAAGATGTCTGTTATCCTCCCAAACTTTATGTAACATTCATGTCAATTTCCGGCATGCGGTGGGTGACTATTTAATTGATAGAATGTGGAACAATTAAATTAATGAAGCAATCTTCATACCCTTGTTTCATTCTTAAACATAAAATAAATTCAGCTCTAATATAGAATGATCTACGGAACCCAGGATATATGAAAAGTGCCCTGGATTAAATATGATCATTATAAAATTTCCAAAGCTCAAATATTATGTATCAAATTATTGTTAACGCGAATAAACATTATAATTGATATGGTCTGCTTTACTAAGAAAGTGTCCTTGCAGCAAACTAGCTATGCAGACATGCTGGATCTAGCAGTGCAACACATTAAAGGGCTTCAAAATCAGGTTCAGGTGGGTAAATGCATCCTGTGTTAATGGTCTACATTGCCTCAAGACATGTGAAGAAAATTTTCAATATGTGGTTATGATATGACTCAAACTTCTGTTATACCATAGCAAAGTAACTTTTGTACACCATCTTTTGTGAAAGGATATAATTTATCAAAGAGGAATAACTTTTGCACACCATCTTTTGATATCGCGCATTTCTCATCTGTTTTAGTAATATAAGTTAGTAACAAAAGACAAGGGAGAAAAGAAAGTGAGTTTATCAATTCTTCATCGTTATTTCAATAGCGAAGGTAATCGAATTATTCAAATAAACCAACTTTATATTCAATCTAAGCTTCATCCAATGCCGTTGCATTCCACATCACCTAGACTTGGAAGGAATATACTGTCAATAACCACATTAAGTTTCCTATGAAGTGCTAGAGAAAAAAGAATAGAATCCACAGTTTAGATACAGAGTAGCATGGATTAGGGTCGAAAAGCAAGATGAAATATTGTCTTCAAAACTTTTTGATCTTTCAACCAATTTTTTGCAAGTATCAAGGCTGCATGAATGCATTGTTGCAAGTGAATCTGAAATGTTGACCCTTGTAAGTTCTTTATGTGTTTCCTATTCTATGCTATCTTGGAATTGCTTCGTACATACTTACAGAGATTTTTTTTCTTTGTGGAGCCTCTCGTCCACTTCGCTAAATCTTATTACTTATTTCGTTTCCTTTGTTCTTGTCTTGTTTAGTCCATTGTTAACTTGATTTTCTCCGTCTTCCTTCAGAATCTCAAAAAGGACCTTGAGGGTTGTACATGTGGCTGCAAGTAATCTACATAATGCTTGTGAACTGCTAATAGGGTAAGCAAATCAAAGTCGGAGTTTGATCTGAATCAACCGAATGAATCCTCATGAGATCAATTTATCCCTCCAAAGATGAAGAGAACCTATTTGTATATAATGAAGCAATTTGTCTCAAATTCAGCAGAGGAGAACTATTTTTTTTTCCCTAAGATTTGTTTCTTCAGAGGAATTATGTAAATGATAGTTTTCAGTTGTTTTGGTAGNATTTGTATATAATGAAGCAATTTGTCTCAAATTCAGCAGAGGAGAACTATTTTTTTTTCCTTAAGATTTGTTTCTTCAGAGGAATTATGTAAATGATAGTTTTCAGTTGTTTTGGTAGTTGGTTTTTCACGTTCAATTTTGACAGTACATAGATTTTGCCAGTGTGTGTAGCATCATTCTCAGTTATTTCTTTATTTTTCTCTTCGATNAGTTGGTTTTTCACGTTCAATTTTGACAGTACATAGATTTTGCCAGTGTGTGTAGCATCATTCTCAGTTATTTCTTTATGTTTCTCTTCGATATTTGCTAGTCTTTGCATCCAAATTTGTAATACCACAAAACGATTGAACACCCGATAGTTTTTTTTTATCTTATTTTTCTATCTATCCTTCTTTTTAACTTATTTTTCAAAATACAATCGATTTTATAACGGCGTGAGTTTGACCTATTCTTTTCAACGTAAAAGCATGTTTGAAAAATATGTTTTTGTAAATTATTTATGCAAAAACATGCGTTGGGTACATTGAAAATTGCGGGTTAACATCAAGTTTTAGTAAAATTTATAGTAACAATTTTGTCATGTCATTAGATTGTGACACTACGTGTCGATAATAACGAAGTGTCAACGTCACCATTTGGGATGCATAGCGCTACTCTACTTCTTTTTCTTAAATTCTTTTTTTTTATTTGCAAATCACCTATCGTTAATGAGTGAGAGATTTCACTTGTATATAATTAGTTTTGTTTAAATAAATAGTAAATGATTGGACAAGAAAAAAATTTGACGGGAAAATGTAATATAAGAATCTCCCAAATGTTTTCTTTGTAGAGTAATGTTATAGGGATCTAATTTATTACAGTTATTACATTAATTGTAAGTTTCAAAGTTGAACAGAACTCATCTCAGTTCAACAATTATAATTAATTAGATACCCATATTAAGTCTTCAAATTAAATCTAAATAAAAATGTTCTTTTCATATTTTGAGTGGCTTCCAAATTGTGAGGCACCCAACATATGGACAGTTATAGGGACTAGGGGTGGCAATCATGTCAAGTTAAATGTATTCGTGTTCAAAATCATGCAATTCGTATACAATCCGTTAATTAAAGGAATAAAAATTATAAAAACCGAACATAATCCACTTATTTGACGGATTACCCGACACGAACCCAGTAACCCATCAAATAAGTGAAGGGTTTGAATTGTTCATTGTGTTTTTTTTTTATCTTCAACTTTATTTCTTTAAAACAGTTGTATGCCTCTAATCTCATGGAAGAGTATAGAAGTGGGTTCTTTTCATTCCACTCCTATTCAATGGTATACTATATTCGATTTTAAACTTTTATCTTATTCTTCTCATTGTTTGTTTGTTCAATAGACACTATAGTGAGTCCCACAAACAACAATCTATTCTATCACATCTTATATAACAAATATATCATTTTACCCTTAACATCATTCATTCATTAACATCATCCATTCCATTTAAAATAATATTTTTAAAAAAAATTTAAAAAAAAAAAAACCAATGACACTATACGCTTAAACATAATATAAGGAAAAAATTCAAAATAATTTTTTAAAAAAAATCGGTAACACTTTAAACTTAAACATAATAAAAAAAAATTCAATAAAAAAAACTTTAANAAATAATTTTTTAAAAAAAATCGGTAACACTTTAAACTTAAACATAATAAAAAAAAATTCAATAAAAAAAACTTTAAAAAAAAACCGTTAACACCGTACAATTAAATATAATACAAGGAAAAAATTTAAAATAATTTTTAAAAAAAACCGTTAACAATGTACGCTTAAAAAATAATAAAGAAAAAAATTTTAAAATAATTTTTTTTTTTTAAATTAAAAAATTAAACCGTTAACACCGTACGCATAAACATAATAAAATAAAATTGTTAATACCGTACACTTAAACATAATATAAGAAAAAAAAAATTTAAAAAACAATTAAAAATAAATTTTTTATATGTGAACTCTTCACATAGGAGGACATTTGTGTCATTTTATTCTCTTATACCTCCATTTCATTTGTATCAAGAATATAATACCATCGGGTAGGTGGTATTGCTTAGTACCATATAGAAGACATAATAGTGACTGTTCACACCGGGTCAGTATTATGACCCAAAAAATAATACCGATTAAAAAATATCAAACAAATAAGATATGAGGTGGATCTCATGTACTATTTTTCTACTCCCACCCTTTTATACCACCCTTATCCTCCGACCAAACATGCTATGTATTAGTTTTAAAAACTATATATGCGTCATTGTAAAACCGCAGACAGTGTTCCATGTGTTGTCCAAGTTTTGACCATCTTTGCAGATATTTCTGGTTATGATGGGCTGGGCTGAACGGGTCCTACACTTAGACTCAATTTTTATGTATGACTAATAATTAAACGGATTGATATATTTTATCAGAATATGACCTGTGTAACAGGCAGCTTTGATAGATCCACATGTTTATCACTCAAATCCACCTACTAATTTCATGTCGATTTGTATCAAATAATTGGATCGTGTTATATTTTTTCAATCCTAATAGTAACATATACCATTTGAAGGTTATATTTGCTCATATAGAATTAAAGTGAGCTTTTAAAGCCTCCGCAGGTCAATATTTTATTTTCTATTAACTTTTTGAAAATAGTAACACATAAGATACTAAAAAATTATTTTTTGATATCGTATCAAAAGTAATTACAAAATAAAGATAAAAATATAATTCAATCTAATGAAGGTTATTTGGAATTTTATCTTAACATTTTAGGATTACTTTGTAATTTATTTTAGGCATAACTTCTTTTTTTTTTTGATAAATAAAAAAAGGGGTGGGGCAAGGAAGAGTGTCCAGCAACCACCCTGATAAACTCTCACTGATGGGATCATAAGGCTTTTGAACGCCTCGAACACCTCTCGAGACCAGACCTAGTTAGACTAACATAGCGTCCAACCACTAAGCTCCAATAAAAATTTCAAGACTCGAACTCTCAATCTCAAAATGAAGAGTAATGTCAGTATCCCATTAGACCACCCTACTTAGTGGTTATTTTCAGCATAACCTAATTCCATTGAGACGTAACCAAGTTGTCCATCAATTGAACTCAACATTTAAACAAGATAAGAAAGAAAACTTATCCTTTGTCAATCAGGTGCAATTTAAGAAAACAATTAGAGCACCAAGTCTCTCTATTTGCAAACATTATTTCTCACCAAATATGGATTTGGAACTTGCCTATGTGACAAAATGTATTGTCCTATAAGATGTAATATATATGAGATAGTTCAATGAACCATCTATCTCGCAGCCACAAAAAGAGGATCAACAAAAAGTCAAAAGTCTAAAACACTTTTGACTAAATGATAGATTACAAATTTGTGTAGTACTTACTGAATCACGAGTAAATATTTAATATGACAGTTACATCACGTTGTTATCTTTATATGGTATAATCGATTAATAATAAACAAACAAATAGTATAAGTGAATCACACTAATTCTACATAATAATTGTGAATGTAAAAACAAGGGAGAATCTCACTTTGAAAGATTTAAAAATTCTTAGTTTAGTCCGTGTGACCTACTTCACTCTCGAGAAACGACAACTGTGGCCGGGAGCCTTTATTGATGAATAAAATAACAGGGAGAGAGCTCCGGGAAAGTAAGCTCCGTAAGAGTTACAATAGCTGAGAGAGAAGCTATGTGTGTAGGGAGGTGTAGAGAGACAAAACTCAATGTGTAGTGAGATGTCAAGATGTATAGATGTGTCTCTCCATGTGGAAAGAGCTTACAATATATAGGTATGGTGAGGCGGTGACATAAGTGTGAGAACACTATTTTCTCGGGGAGGATAGTTATAAAAAAGCAAGTATAATTAAGGTAGGATTAATTTTCATGAGTGCGTATCCTTATAATCTTCCTCCCACGTGCTCTTATCTTTTCGAATCTCTTGGATCTTAGACTGAGTCGGATTGATAAAGTGGATTTAGACTACCTTTTGGCTAACTTGGGTGTACTTGATGAATTAGGCCTAACTTAGTTGGATTTGGGCTCATCAGAATTTTAATCGAAAGATCACGTTCTAACATTTTGAATATACAAAAGATATAATATAAAGAATTTTATATTTGAAGATGGAAAGTGAAAATCTTTAAATCTTTCTAGACATAAAGTGTAATTCACCCTAAAAATTATTGATAATTATACAATTTAATAAAATCCACTAATTTTATAAAATCGTTTATAATTGATCGAATTATACTATGTAACAATCATAAAGCTGTCTAACCATTATATTGAATATCTTTCTCCACCACAAGGCAGAGATAAAGAAAAACTGCAGTCGTGGCCTGCCTTAAAACCAAAGATCATGGTGGGTATGATGTGACCACGTTCATCATTGTCTCATTAACGCATCTTATTCATTACCAAATCTTCAAAGTGCCGCATTATTTAACCCTGTTGTGCCACACTATTAAACCTTTCCGATGTTCAACTTGTACCGTTTCAAGATTGTATTTGTTATATTCGAGATAAATAAATTAATTTTAATAAATTATGGTTCAAAACTTTGAAATTATAAAAAATTATGTACCTCTATTACAATTCCTTCCATACAGGAATATAAAAACAAAAGAAAATCAAACAAATTTTTTGTATAATTTTAGCTAAATGGATTTGTTGTATTTAAATTATTTATATCTGATACATCACGTTATGTTTAAACTCATATCATAGTTACAAATCGTACGAAAAAATGAAACACTTAGCCAAGTGGTTCTAGCAATCACACTCTGGGTGGATTTGCCAAGTGTGCGTAATTAACCACCCAAACTCACAAGAAAAAGGTCGACCCCACCACCATTTCCCATTCAATCAATGCCCAAAAGAAGATATTACAATCAAAAAGACAACTTTAAGTGAACCCAGAAATAATCAAACTTCTAAATCATCAACTACCACCAAAACAAAGAAAAAAACAAACACCAAAACACAATCACTCCAAAGAAATATCCACCGTGACAAACTGACCCATCATGATTTTTAGTAAAATAATACATTTTTAAAGGCTTCTAGAAGCTTTTCTCTCACATCAGTAAGAAGTCTACATTTTTAGCCTTCTAGAAGCTTTTCTCTCTCATCCCTTGAGCATCTAATTGATTGCACTATTTGGATGAAGATAGGGACAGAAAGTGATACATAAAGATGGTAACCTTTATTTCTTCTTAGCTTTTTCTTTGGAGGTTGGAACATGCTTTCATGAACCAAACTCTAAATTATCATTTTTCATATCTTTATTTCATTTTTTATCGTTATTTAAAACTTATATTTCAATTTATCGTCATTTACATAAATGCGTAGTTTATATATAAAAGCGAATTTTGCAGAGCAAAACATACGTTCTAACTACGCTTTTCGGATAAATAACGATAGATTTGAGATATAAGTTTTAAATAAAGATAAAGATGAAATAAAATTATAAAAAGACAATAGAATGATATAAAAACCTCGTGCTTCTCGAAGCTTTAACCCACAGATTGAGACTTCCAATACTTTGCCATTTCAAACCCATTCTTGAAGTAATGATAGTCTTCAATAGTTTGATCAATTTCAGCTTGTGTGTTCATCACAAAAGGCCCATACTGAACAACCGGTTCATTCAACGGCTGTCCACCAATCAACACGAATCTCAACGGCTTGGATGACTTGTTCCAAACACTAAGCCCGTCTCCGGGCCCCAGCACCAAGACATGGTGGGCCGGTACAGGTGACGAGCCTAACGAGCCAAACAAGCCTTCACCCTCGATTATATACACGAAGGCATTCCATGATTCTGGGATGGGTTGGTGCACTTGTGCACTCGGTTTGAGAGTGACATCAAGATACATTGTGGGAGTTCGAGTGTAAACTGGAGATTGGACACCCATTGATTCTCCTGCTATGACTCTTACTTCAACACCATCTTGTTCTGCCCTTTTGATCTCCTCACTTACCAATTCTTGGTACCTGGGCTCAATCCTGCAGTTTTGAAGATTTGTTCTTGTCATTTATAGTTATGAAATTGTGACAAAAACAAAAATACCAAGTTTTTTTTAGTAGACTAGTATGATTTTGCAACTCATTTCCCAGTTTGCTATTCCTGTTTAACTTATTTTTTAGTCTATGACTCTAATCTGAAAGCACGTCTTTCAATGTACAAGTGCTTTTGCAATTATACTTTTCAACCCTCACAAATAAATAAGACACTTTCTATGAAAAAATGTGTATTGCAAAGATGATTTCACATTAAATGTGTGGGTCAAACCCACACCTTCGTGAAAAAAAATTGTAATTTAGAAAATATGTTGAAAATAACGGTAGTGTGGGAAGTAAGTTCACAAAAGGTCATAGTCTAATCCTTGAATTCAAATTTACCATTCAGTAGCTATTAGGAATACTTTGTCAATCAGATATATAAGTCGCCGAGATTAATTCGGATAATTGATAATTATGTAATTGATAAAAATTTATTTCAGAAATTCATGAAAAAATGCCAATCACAGAATCAAAAATACTTGGTTAACAATGGAATAAAAGATGAAGCAGTAACATAGTTTCTTACATTTTGTCCTTGGAGGAAAGATTGATCCATAGTTGCAGACCCTTTTGTGCACCCTCTCCTACTGGCATTTCTGAATGTATTATACCTCTTCCTGCTGTCATCCACTGCACAAATCCATAAATGATTACAAATTGAGACTGATAATTTGGGGATGTTTTTTTTTTTATTATGATAATTAATCTGATCAAAGGAATATTTTAGCAATCATTATCTGTTACCTGAATGTCACCGGTTTGAATTGTGCCCTTGTGGCCTGCAAAATCTTGATGAGTAATTGCTCCCTAAAACACACAACATCCAAAGTTTAGTTCTAACAATTTCAACTACTCAATATTCAGAATCAAACTTTTTATTAGTATTGAACTAAACAAATGTACCTGCAGCATGTATGTAACAGTCTCGAAACCTGTTCAAAAATAAAAGCAAACACCACAATCCAAGTCAATTAAGCTAAAATAAAAGATGTTTCTAATCTGAAGAACAGCATTAAAATAAAGTAGAAATCTAATAATCAAATCAAACCTCTGTGTGGATGGTCTGGAAATCCAGCAGGGGCTGTAACTGCAGGATCAAACAGAGGAAAGATTTATTACCAAGTTTATTTCAACACTAATTAAGAGAGCAAGCATTGGAATATCATCATAATGCACCTGAAAATTCATCCAGCATGAGGAAAGGATCCAAATTCTTCAATTCAGACCTAAAAATTAAATTACCCAACAAAAAAAAAACCCACAAACAATCAATGAAAACAAGAAACCATGAATATGGGAAAGAGGCATAATAGCTACACTATCAAGAAGACAAAATCTCCAAATAACAAGTGTTCTATTTCCAAAATCAAAGTGGAAAATAACCTCATAAATGATCAATACCCAGATGATGTTTTAGTCCAAAATAAGAAACCATGAATCCAAATAAAGAAAATGCAAAGAAAAGTCACCAAAATTCAAAACCAGAGGAGAGATAATCCAAGAAAACAAGAAACCATCAGGCAATACCTTCCAATACTCCTCCTAACCACAGCACCATCACCCTCGCGTTGAGGCTTGGCCAAGACTTTCTTGATTGGCAATCTGGGTGTGTTAAAACTAGAGTATTGATCAGATGTAGACATAACTTTTCTAATAAATGAAGGGCCAAAGTTTTTGGTTGTTTTGGCTGTGGTCGTTAGGCTCAGATAGCAAAGTGACTGGTGAAATATAGCTCTCATATAAGCTTCTTCCTTGTTCTGTATCTTTGGATATATCTGTCTCTTCTAACTTCCTCTATATATATACATCTACATATGTTTGTGTGCGGTTGAGGAGGGTGGGGGGGTGTTGTATAACGACCTGGATAACAATGTGGACAGAGGAATAGTGGAAAGGGGGGTTGGTTGAGGTCTGACACAGGGAAGCTAATTGGAGGCGTGTGAACAAATTTTGAGTCGGGACCACGTGGACCCAATTTTCGTCGTTGGACCAATGATAAGGTGATATCACCCTCTTGTCATCATGATGGAGGGCCTTTGCCCTCTGTAAAAATCGTCTACAGCTGTTTGAATAGCCACTCGCCGGGAAAAATAAAAAAAAATAAAAAATTTTTTTTGAACAAGCTATGAAATTGAATTTTAATTCAAATCCTAATAAATTAAGTATCTATAATATAAAATATGATAGGTTTCAATAAACTCATCAGATAATTTTAAATAAATTCATCCAACGACTATCAATATTTCTCTCAAAATCATTTATATTTTACCATATTTTTGATGATGTATTCTTCTATCGCTTGTCTTTTTATTTTTTATGAAGCTCACCGGAGACGCCAAGTTGGGTGGGGAATAAAAAATTGTGAAAAATTTTATAAGTCAAGCCAACTATATATGTTGGGGGTGGGCAAACGGCACATGCTTATGGTTTTGGATTGGCAGTGATTTACACAAAATAAAAAGTCAATTTTTTTTTTTTATTATTAGCACATGGTAATTCCTTTTTTCAACCTAATCTAAATTGGAAAATGACAGAAATCATACCTAAGCATTGCGTTTGCCCTTTCCATTTCACCCAAAAAAAAAAGAAAAAAGAAAAACAACCTTCACCTTGATCCTCATTTTAGAAAAATTTTTAACGATAACACAGTCTTATCATTTTGATTTCGTGCCAAAAATTTTGATATTGTCTCAATTTATTTGTAATTAGGGATACTTCGTATCAAAATGTACGGTATAATGTAAATACTTTTAAGAGGAATGTTACTGATCGTTAAATGAGTCTATTTGAGACAGTCATATGAGTTTATTGAAATCTATCATCTATATAATAAAGTAGCTTACAATTTAAATGTCAAAAGATAAGTAAAATGACTTTTGCTATTCGCGGTTGAGATCGCTTTAAATTTTACTTTAAAGTTAATTTAACAGTTAATATTAAAACTTCAAATTTAATAGGAAAAAATAGATCTCTAAGGGTGTGTTTGGAGTAATTTTTTAAAAGTGTTTTTAGAAATTATTTCTCATAAGCACTTTAAAAAAAAATATATATATTGTTTTGAATCGCTCCATCACTATCTCTACCACCACCACCTCTATCACCACCGTCGTTGGCACCACCACCGCCACCACCACTGCCACCCCCTGCCGCCATCAGCGCCACCTCCACCTCCACTTCCATCGCCATCGCCGCCACTACTACCACCGCCACCACCCCCACCGCCGCCACTGTCACTATCTTCACCATTGTCGCCACCACTGTCGCCACCGTCACCTCCATCGTTACNGCCCCTCCTCCCCCCGCCCCCCCCCCCCCCGCCGCCACTGTCACTATCTTCACCATTGTCGCCACCACTGTCGCCACCGTCACCTCCATCGTTACCACCACCACCACCACCGTCATTGTCGCCACCGCCATCATTACCACCACCACCAAAACTATTATTGTCTCCTACCACCACCCACTATTTCTCACCACCACTATGTTTGCGATTTAATTTTAGATATAAATACAAATATATTTATTATTTATTATTTTTTATTACTTTGTGTTTTAGACATAGACAATAACTAGTATTTTATATTATAAATAATTGACCACAACAATAAAAAAAAAATTATCTTTGTCTTACTTTAATTTGGAAAAAGTTAAAAAAAAATGAGACAATAATAATTTTTTTTTATATTATATTTGGACAAATATTTTAATCATGCTCAAAATGAGCATTGTGTCTAAGCTCGTCAATGAATCGGAATTTAATTTATCTAAACGCGAGTAAGATTTTTAAAATTTTGATCTGACTCCGCTTATTTGACGAATTTTATTTTTGTGGTTCATATTCAAATCTGTTAACAATCTAATTCTGATCCGAATAACTTAATTTAATTAAATTTTAATAAATTACATCTAAATTTACTTAAACAAACATTTAATTCTTTTAATATTTATATAAAATCTATCTAATATTACAGTTAGAAAATTGAATTATTAATTTATAAAAACACAAAGACAGTCAAAAATAATTCAATTTTCATCTATTTTATCTAATGATACAAAATTCATTCTAAATTTTTTTTTGTTCACCCAAAAATATTAACTTCTCTACACTACCCCCAATATCAAACAACTCAATCAACATACTTCCTAATGTCAAACTATTCCCTCAATTCACGTCTACCTTTTTCTTCATTTTAATTTTAAATTAAACAATTAAAAAATTAAATTATAATTTAAAATATAAATATTATAAGATCAATTCGATTTTTGAAATTCTAAAATATTTTCAAACAAAAAAGTTATTATTAATATATACATATTTTTAATTAAATTTGAATCAAAACCTGATCCATTTACGATTTCCATCGTGCCCCATCATGGATCCAAGGCACTCGCATTAATTTAGTGCCATCTGAAATACTGGCACATGGCATTAAAGAGTGCCCACGTAGAAAAGAGCATAAAAATTTGCTTTTTGAAACTACTCGTGGACAATAGGAGGAATGCATCTTCAACGGGATTGGTAACGACAATCTAATCTGAACGCAAATTCATAGTTTTACAACTTTGGATATAAAAGTTTTATTACATGCCTTGGGATTGGGATTTTGATTTTATTAAAAAAAAATAATTATAACTCAATTTAATTTTACATAATTCTCTCAGAATTTAATTCGAATCACGTATGAAATTGAACTTGAACAATATAATTTGAGAATTAAATTTAAATTCAAGTCAAACTCGCACCGCATTAGGATTTTATTTTTATTTTGGTTGACGAAGCTTACCCCGCCAAGAATAATCTTCTTCTTCTTATTTTTTTTTTTTTGGTTTTAGCACATGGCAATTCCATTTTCAATCCAACTTAAACGATGGCATAATGGTAATTAAAGGGAAATGACAAAAATCATACATAAGCATTGCGTTGCGTTTGTCCCTTTTTTTTTTTCATTTTGACAAAAAAAGAACCTTTGACTTATTCTTTATGTCTTTGTGTTCCCATTCCGATATGTATTATAAATAAGTTCAAATTAGCATCTCGGACCAGTACAACGACCTTTTTTTAAAAAAAAAAAACCAGTGCCGCCATATTTTTTTGGATTCGGATCTCGTTTTTTTTAATTCACCAAAATCAATCTCTCCAAAATTTTTAAAAAAAATAGATAAAAAATTAATTATTATATTAAATTATATCTCATTTGATATATACATAATATATGTATACATTAATTTCATATATATATATATATACACACATAATGATAAAATATGTATTTTATATATTTTTAAAATAATTTTTTTAAATAAAGATAAAAAAAAATATTTTTTTCATCTTACCAAACACAAAAAAAAAATTATTTTTATTTTCCATTCATCGTACCAAACATAAATAAATGAAAATGTATCATTCATATTTTCTTTTTTTAGATGATAGAAAATATATCTTTTCTACTTTTCATGAGCCTATTGAGGCCTAATTTATTGACATAATTTATTAATCTAATTCACTGTCACCTTTAGATTTAGTGTAGACTTCATTAAACATTAAAATTTGATATTGATTCAATGATTTCTATAAAATCACATCATTATGTCAGTAAATTAAGTTAAATTTTAGGTCCAAATAGCATTATTCACTTTACAACTCTTCTACTTTCTATCATTTCTACTAAACAGAGCATTAAAATATTTTTAATATTGTTCCCGATATATTTTGATTGATTTTAAATTTTTTTTCTTTTTTTATAACTCAAATCCAAAAAAGTTATATTTTAAACCAAAAAGATGTTTAATTTTACAAGGTACCTCATTCTTGTCAAAACGAAACCCCTCTACTTCTAATTGTTGATAGAGTTTATAATCAAATGGATCTTTGTGAGCTCGAGCTCTTTTTTTTAAATTATTTTAAAAAATTATTTAAATTTGACTCGTTTAGAAAATAAGTCGAACCCGAATAAAACTCAAAACGAGCTAAATTGGAACAGTTTGACTATTTTATATATAAACGAGTTTTGCAAAACCCGACTTAGCTCAATTATCAACCCTGCTTGTTGATAACAGAAAATTAAATCAAGGGGCAAATTTAATTTTTTTTTTTTCCAAATTTTTGATATGGCAAACCGACAGTATAGAAGCTTTCGTCAACCAACCAGGTCGTCAATTCGAAAAATACGAGGCGTCAGAAACCATAGAAGCATCGACCACTTTGATTTGTTCAATAATTAATACCTTAATTGAAATATATCTGTATCTTGACTTAGCAATAACAAAGGTGCAATAACAAGATGTGGGTCCAAACATATATAAAATCCAATCACAACGTGGTGGGTTAAGTGAATCAATTTTCCTCCTAACGATGTCTTCAGTTCACATTTGTTTCGGATCCTTAATTAATTGTTATAGGATAGCTTTGTTCTTTTTAAAAAATGCTTACACACCTCAACCTTCTTACACTGTTACACCACCTTTCTTGCTCCCTTTGGTAGGAAAGATAGAAATTAGGAGAGATACATGTTTTATTATTTATGCTCAGTTTGGTACGATAGAAAAGTGGAAGGATAAATAAAACATCGTGTTTTGTAAGAAAAGAAAGTAGGAAGAATGGAAAAGTGAATGAATTAACTTTTCTTTTAACTCATCAAAATCAATCCCTCCACAATCGAAGGAAAAATGGATGGAAAGTTAATTATTTGTGTTAAGATGTATCTTATTTGTCTATATATATTTTAATATATACATATATTATGTATATATTAATTTTATATAAAAATACAATGGTAATATATATATTTAAAAAAATAAAATTAAAAAAATTAAAAAATAAAATTAAAAGTTTTAAATTAAAAAAAATATATATATTTTTCATCTTAACTAA